GTTGGTAGGGGGGGGGGTGGCTAGTACTAGTACTAGTACTAGTACTAGTAGTAGTAGTAGTAGTAGTAGTAGTAGTAGTACTAGTAGTAGTAGTAGTAGTAGTAGCAGCTGCAATGGAAGTAGTAGTCGAAGTAGTAGTAATAATAGTAGTAGTAGTAGTAGCAGCAGCAGCAGTGGCAGTAGTAGTAGTAGTAGTAGTAGTAGTAGCGGTAGTAGTAGTGGTCGTCGTCGTCGTCGTCGTAGCTTTGTCACCCAAAGGTAGTAGTAGTAGTCGTCGTCGTCGTCGTAGTAGTAGTAGTAGTAGTGGTAGTAGTAGTGGTAGTAGCAGTGGTTAATACCATTAAAAATAATTTAACTGCTATAACATTACTAATAGTAGTCGTCGGCGAAGTAGTAGTATAGTAACATGATATAATGATATATAATCAATTAGCAGTACAGCAGGTCGTCGTAGTTTTATTGATATTGCTGCTGCTGTTGAACGTGCAGGCTGTTCAGCTCTTGAAGTGTGTCTTAAGTGCTTCTCCTCTGCATGGCCTGCACGACATCCGGCACCGATCATGCATCAGGTTTTGCTGGCTGCTTGACTTCTTCTCTGTCCAGTGTGCCTTTGCACTGGTTCGCTTCCGGAATTCCGCCCGACGTCGAGCGTTCACATCTGACTGGTGCACCTGAATTCTATTGTTCCCACCCCTCCAAGCTCTGAACAGTGTGCTTGCAATCACTGCAGATAATTTGTCCTCATCTGGGAGTTGTTCCAAACCGTGGCCGGTGATCGCATGCAATGCACCTATGCATATAGAGAGTGAGACACACACACATACATACATACATACATACATACATACATACATACATACATACGTACATACATATAAACATTACACTACATTGCATACAGATAGATAATCAGAAAGAGAAAGAGACAGAGAAATAACGAGAGTGTGTGCATGCCTCGCCATGATGGTGCACTACGGCGAGGCCGTAAAACAACCCCCACATCTTGTGGAGCTTTTCATGTCTTGTCGTCAGCCCGCACTTGGGCTTGGGCACACCTGGATACATCTTTGCCGCAGGTGGCGCGAAAGGCATGAACCTGGATGGTCTGCGCCATAGCCTTTCTGTGCTCAGCATTTGAACTCAAGGCTGTAGCTGCACGGCTTTGGCATGTTCTTTGAGCTGTGCATCAATAGCAGAACTGTCTCCACCACAAGATGGGTCACCCCATGTGATGACATCCCCGTCTTGGCACAACAGGGCAAAGGCGAATTTCGTCCCGTAGATTCCTTGGGCATCCGGCACTCTGGGATGCACCAAGGGTGGACCGCGTGCAGGGTCGCCCCAAGAGACAATACCACCGTTCCTTTTGATGGCAGCGAAAGAGACATTATTGCCGAACAGCTTCGTAACACCAGAAGAGAGGATGCTTTCAGTCGCTGTTGTATCAGCCCCATGTTTTTCGTCTCCCCAGGCATGCACGCTTCCATCCTCCTTCAATGCCGCGAATGCGGCCCTTGTTGCGCAAAGCTCCTTGACTGCGCGAAGCCCTGCCACAGATGCTGAGTTTCCACCAGATTGAGGGTTCCCCCAGCAAACCACTGTGCCGTCTTCTTTGAGAGCAGCTATTGAGCCTCTCGTGCTGCATAGTTGCTTCACTCCGCTACGGAGCTGTTGACGAACGGCGCTGCTTCCGCCACCTGAAGCATCATCTCCCCATGTGACGACCTGGCCATTGTCGCGAAGAGCCGCAAACGCGTCATCTGTCGAGCAGATGTCCTTGACGCCTGCCTCCAAAAACTCGGATACATTCGAACTGTCCCCACCACCGTCCGGATCGCCCCAGGTAATGACAGAGCCATCTGCTCGCAACGCTGCAAAGGCGCACTCGTTCGAAAACACCTTCACAACACGAGCCGCGCCGATCTCCGAGAAGTCCTCCTGCACAGAGCTGGAGTCGCCTCCAGATTCCCGGTCACCCCACGTGACGATCGAGCCGTCTTTCTTGATGGCCACAAAGGCACGCTCGTTACCCCAGATGTGCTCCACGTTGCGCAGCAGCTTATGCATTACCGAGCTCGCATCTCCTCCACAGTTCGGGTTCCCCCAAACCACTACAGAGCCGTCTTCCTTGATGGCAGCAAATGCTGAATCCGTTGCGGCAATCTTCACCACACCGCATGCCAGTTGATCTCGCACCGGCCGGCTGTCGCCTCCCCAGGAGGGGTGCCCAAATGTCACCACGGAACCCGTGTTCTTCAGCGCAGCGAAAGCAGCTGCCGACGGGCAGATATGGACGATACCGTCAACAAGCTGGTGTTGAGCTTTCTTCTGGTCAGGACCAAACTCAGGATCTCCCCAGCAAACAGCTGCTCCTCGAGCAGTCAAGGCGCAAAAAGCCCTGTGGTTCGCGACAATTTCTACAGCCATAGCATCCGCACAGGAGGAGAAGTTGACTCTGCAACCAACAAACCGCCAAAGGAGAAAACAAAATGCCTCTTGGCACACTGGCCGGGCTATCTGTTCTCAGTCTTGGTCCAGCTTTCGTTACTATTGGAGATAGGGGTGCTGCAAGGATTCAGAAGTCCCTGTCTTCTTGAAGAAACTCTGGTAAGCCTTCTATACGGGCCTCTATGACGATCACCGTTCAAGCTAAGCTGTGAGCCAACTGCGAAGTACTACCAGTACAGCAACGGCTACTACCACTACCTCTGGCACTGCGGCTGCTGCTGCTGGGGCTGCGACTACTGCGGCGGGACGACTGCTACGAACACCTAGTTCTACTGCTTCTTCTACAAACATTGCTGTAGTTACTACTACAGCTACTGTTACTATTATACTACTAGTACTATCACTAACGCCACTACTCCTGCTACTGCTACTGCTACTGCTGCTACTACGACTACGACGGCGACTCTCCTCCTCCTCCTGCTGCTGCTGCTTCCACTGATACTGCTGCTGCTACTACCACGATCACTACAGCTACTACGACAACGACGACCGCCGTGACTACTATCACGGAGTAAAAGCACAAGTCAGCTATGCAACTGGCAGGTCAGTTTTCCTCATGTGCCCATCTCAAAACTAATTAAACGTCACCCTATGGATGATCCCTCTTGTGTAGGATTCCTATGGGAGCTTCCCCGCATTGACACACTGCAGACAGGCTTTCGGCATTACGTCTACGCCTTAAATCCCTACCTCTGGATGTTTGCACGCATCCTCGTCCCGAAGTCCTGACAAGCAGGAACATGCCTTCCGTGAGGCGCTGGACCACCAGACGCTGCTCGCTTTCCTCGGCTTTGTGGAAAGTTTTTTTCGGTGGTGCTGCGGGGCTTAAGAATCGTTCTCGATTTGCGGTGCTTGACATACCTTTCCATTCGTGGTTCCCGACAGGTCTTCTACCTGGTCTGCGAGGGGTATTCAGACGCTTTGCAGGTCGGTGACGGCTACTTGCTACTTGCTTGGATCCTTAAGCCCTATATCCTCGTGGCCATGCTACAACTCGCACCGAAAATGGTATCCTGCAGTGAAGCTGCGACAAGAGAAAGACAAGTATAAGTAGGACCAGAAGCAGGCATCATCAGTAAAAACTACTACATAATACTCCTGATCATTATACAACACTCGCGTTGCTCTATACATAGTCATTCGGGTCGCAATGTACGATACCACCCTTCACACAGATTACCACGTTAGTTGTCGATCTCACCATACTTTGAATGATATTTGTTATGCTACATTGATGACAACCACCCTCTTTTTCTCTCTCTCCCAAGCATTCGAAACGTCAAGCCTGCCTGAAGGGCAGCACTCGTTGCATAATAAAACCCCTGGAACCCCATACTCCCGGGCCCAAGTCGTAGTCAGAGTCTCCAGTGCTTCGGCCAACTCACCGTGCGCCTCGAGCGCGGCCTTCACCTCTTGGGCGGCTACCTGCAGAGGTAGGGTTTACGCTCTCACAACTCGGACCAGACAGGCGAGGTCTCACAGGTTCGGGTCGGAACTATACGACATAGCACAAATCTGGCAGGCAGCAAATGCACGGACCCAGGCACGATACTCTACAGGCCCTGAAGGGCCAAATCAACTATCAGAACTGCCAGGTTCGCACGTTAGGTTGCCATTCTGCAAGGGCCAAATCCGGGCCAAATAACAAAAGTTACAAAGGTGGCCTCACTGCAGAATCCATGTTGCGGTCCCAGCAAACGATTGGACTACTGAGGCATTTTTTCTGAAAACGGCTGCTGCAGACACACCCTCGTGGGTCAAGCAGCTCTGGGAGATGCTCAGCAAAACATTGGCTGACATCTGCTGGCCATCTGTTGATCAACGAGCCTGGGGAAGAAAGCGATGGATGAAATCCTCTTTCACGTCGCGGAACTCGACGTCAATGCCCATCTTCTGCAAGTACGCGATCTCTCCTTTCTGCGAACCGCCCAGTCCAACCCCATCCCACGGGTTCGCATCATCCTTGCACAAGTCGTCCCACTTGATGATGCCCTTCCCCGTTTGTCCCTCAAAGAAGTAGGCGACCAACTTCTGTTTGCGGGCGACGGCGAACTCTACGTTCTTGCACCACTGACGGAACCATTCACAGCCCCAAATTGGCAAGCCGTTGTTCTCAAGAAAGGCCGCCTCGTCATCCTTGTAGCCGAAAACCTCCTTGCTCCTGGCACCGTAGAGTCTGGGACAGAAACACTTGCCTTCAGCATCTGGATCAGGCGCGTGTAAACCAAAGCCGGCTTTCTTGTCGGGCAAGAAGACGCACGCGACGCTCATGTGATGTTGATGCGCTCGGGTGCACTCGTTCCATGCTTCCGCATATTTGCCCCGGAAGGAGACTATGCACTCACAGCCATCCTCGTGAAGAATGCGCCCCTTGTAGGTCACAACCTCACCTGACAGGACGGCTGGTTCACCAATCATCTTGAGCAGCTCTTCCTGGATGTTGCCGGCCCTCTTTTGCAACTCTGCCGCCCTTTGCAGACGCAGGGTATCGGGATGATGCGGCCCGTTAATACGCTTCGACAAATCAGCAGCACGTTTCGTCTCCAGGTATGCTTCGAGGAGCATCCTGTCATAGTCGCCATAAATGCCCAAGGAAGCAATGCCAGACTGCTTCGCTGCCGTCTCTTGGCCGGAAGGCGTAGCCCCAGTGCTCTGTGGCTGGTTGGGCAGCTCAGGCTCGGGCTCTCGCACGGGTTCTGCTTCTTTCAACGCCTCCTGTGCCACCCAAGTTCGCTGTCATCTGAGCTTGTTTCTGGCTTGCCTCGCTCACGAGGCTTGATGTGCCCTTTGCCGTCTCGGCAGCCTGACTGGTCGCCTGCATGGCCTGCGCCAGGAGGCTTCCATAACCACCACCGGGCATGGCTCTGTCGCGGTTCCGTACTATCCCGGGGCAAATTGACCGACAGCAGACCTTGAGCCAAAATGCCGTATATTGGGACGTAGGATTCAAAATCGTAGGTGTCTTTCAGGGGATACACGCATCCGAAATTACAAGCTTCCAGCACTTCCTCGACATGCCCCTCAGACCGAAAATAAGAAATTATGGCAAACGTGGAATACAGACTTAAGCCGCCTGGGCTTGGTGCTCGTGGTAGCATCGTTCCTGGGCCAGGAGCACCTGAGCCAAAAACATGACACCTTGTGGCAGGGACTACTCAGCAAGAAACGGAAGATCTTGCAGGCAGAGATCTTGGATTTAGGGTTTAGGATTTAGGGTTCTTGCATATTCTTTCTGGTAAGAGACGAGACACACAGATAGGCGAAAGGCCACAGACAAGCCGAATATGACCTTCAACTAGAAGAGTTGCGAAAATATAAGAGGCAAGAACACGTAACATAAAGGAGAAGGCATGACAAAACCATCCAAACACAAACGCGAGATCATACTAACCGAGAGGAATCCCTAACAGAAGAGTAACCAAAACCCGGGCTTCGTTGTGGGTTCCATGCTCGGGTCATCATCAAAGCTCTCACACAACCCAACTGCCCAAACATAGGGCCTCACCCTTTTTGCATCAGGGCTTGTGCAATCGCCGGAATGTAAACCCTAAACCCTAATTCAACCCTGAGCCCGTCAGCTTTCTAGAACCAAAAACGACCGCAAGCCCCAAGCTCCTTCAGTTTACCGAGGCAGGGCGAAGACCGAACGTCATTGAAACGCAGACCCCAAAGTCCTCCAAAGTTCAGCATCATGTAGATACTGAAATTTCGTACTATGTAACTGTACATATGTATGTTATACATTCCATATGCTACAAATCCCAATAAGCTAGCACCATGTCATTTCAAGTCATCTGTGCAACCTTGAACTTCTCCTCGAGCCCCGGCAAGGCCTGGTCCTGAGTTGAAGTGTCTTCTCTAGGGTTCTTGAGATGTCGGGGTTTCCGAAAATAGGGGACTGTAATATAGTACCCTAAAGAGTAGGATCCTTATTATCACTCTCCAGGTTTCGAGGGTTGGATTGGCTAATTGGGTGGTTGTCAAAATTATGGTCCCTTTTTGGGTCCTTATTATAATACGGCACCCATTATTTAGGGTACCCCAAAAGGGACCATAATTTTGACAACTACCTATGTAGTTTCCGAAAATAGGGGACTGTGATATGGAACCCTAAAGAGTAGGATCCTTATTATAAGGACCCCAACAGAAGGTACCCCTTATTTTCGGAAACTCCCATGTAGTTGACACCAAAAAAGTGAGTGTTCAGGGTTTCAGGCATTTAGAGCTTTCAGGTTTCGGGGTCTTAAGTTCCGGCAACCTGTTCTGAAGGAGCCTCCGGGCGCGACGTTAAGACTCTAACTGCCTAACCCCAAATCCTGTCCTAATTTGAGCCAAACAGTGAACACTACACGTCACTACACGCAAACCCTAAGACCTGGTCCTGATGTCCTACGTGGTAAACATCCCCAATAAACCTTCTAATATTGTCTAAAACCAAACCTTGAAGCCCCAAACCCTCACTCTCAGTATGCACCCCGAACCTCCCGCACCGGCAATGTCCCAGCTGGTCCACAACGCTGCCCTGAACCTCAACCATCTACAAAGTATGGATCACCAAGCTCGTCGAAACATAAACACCCAGCTGTGCTGATCCGCCCTACACACTAGAGTCGCTAGAAGCCTGTAGTAATATACCCCTCAAGCCTCGACTTTACTTATCTGCCCCATATGACCCTACATCCTAGAAACCTTGGCATCATAGTAGTCCTATATAGCGCATCTGTATGATCCAAGTTTCTAGCCGCTTGACCTCCACGGCAAGCTCTGCGCGCATCTGCTGCGCGCTCAGCGTGGACACCTCCTGGCAGCGCCGATTCAACTCGTCGAACCTGAGATTTAGGGTGCAAAGGCTGTAGTTTAGGAGTCCGTTTCGGATTGAGGGCAGAATGAACAAACAGAGACATGAATCACGGGCGTGAACATGCGGAAAGCTTCGATGTGTGTAAATATCAATGTGTCTGTGTGTGTGTATAGATATACATATATGTTTATACATACGTCTATAGAGAAATACATATATGAGAAAGGACAGATGCATTCACCCATGTGTATGTATACATGTGTAGCATACACGCACACATATACGTATACATATACATACATATACATAAAGATATGTATGTGAAAGTGTGTAATGCAGCGTAATGAAATGTAATGTAATGCAGTGTAGTTCAATGGAACGGAATGGAATGGAATGACTGGAATGGAATGAAGTGATATATGTATGCATGCATGTATACACACACACACGCATAGACTCTGTACATACTCAGTTGATGCGCCTGTACAAGGTAATCGGAAAAAACAATCCGCACTAAGCTACCTACCACAAAACAGAATTAACAGAAATACTGTGGGCATAATCCCGCCAGGCAACAGAGCCTCCCTCTCTTTTCGGAGGTCTTCAGAGAGGCGCTCGACCATCGTCAAGGCCCACTTCCGGCTTTCCTGTGTGTGATTGGGTTTCGGGCTTCGGATTTGGGGGTTTCCGAAACTAGGGGACCCTAATATAGTATTCCTAAATAGCAGGATCCTTATTATAACGACCCCCAAAATAAGGTACCCCTCATTTCCGGAAATCCCCCATTTAAGGTTTAGAGGGATTGGGGGTTTGGGCTGAGGGCATGGGTTTCCGGTTGGGGGCTTTAAGGGGCCGGGGCCGATTCGGGTCTCGGCTTCGTGGGCCGGTGGATAAAGCCTTGCGGCCCGAGGGCGTAAGCGTGGAAGGGCTTGAGGGTGTGTGGCTTGGGCTCTCAAATAAGTCAATACATAAATAAGTGTATGTATGTATATATATATATATATAGAGAGAGAGAGAGGTAAGTGTTTTTTGTTGCTGGAAATGCCTAAGTCCTCGACTGAGTCTTCTTTTGCATGCCGAAACGGGTCGTGAGACTTAACAGAACATTGAACAAGATCTCTCTCAGGCCAGCAAGAGGATGTTGAGAAGGCTTGGTGGGGCACTTTCCTATATGTAAAACCTTAATCCCTTATGAACCCTGGCCCTGACCCCTGAAGCACGAAAGCTTCTCCTCCTTGTGGGCTGCGTGCTCTCTTCGGATCTCGTCCGTCATTGCCTCGTGCTTCCGTGCCTGCGCACTAGAGAGGTCGGCAGTTGCCACCTCTCGCGCGGATCGCTCCTCCTGCAGGGTTGCGCTGGGCTTAGGCTGTCAAAAACGAGGGTTCAGGGCCTAGGGGTGTCAGGATTTAGGGTGTGAAGATAGTGGGTGTACTTGTATCTAAGCTCGAAGCTCCTGGCGGAAGGAGGCCATGGAGTCTTCTAACTTGGAAACCTCGGCCCTGATCGCGGCGTCCAGCTCTGGAAGCGCCTCTTTGCAGCGCTGTTGAGGAGTTGTCGAAGGTATGACTAGGCGATTTAAGGCCTCGGGTGCCTAGATGGGTCTAGGGATCTCGAGTTTGGGGTCGGCTCTAAAAGGGATCAGGTTGGCACTGCGAACCGAACCGTGTTGTCATGTCTTGCATTCTCTCGACGCCGAAATCCACAAGTCTATTAACCACAGAGCCTCAAAACACTTCAGTAAGGCTAGGGCTGAGAGAACGAGAAGGTTTAAAGACCATACAGACTGCTAACCCCTCAACCCTGAGCCCTACATGGGGGTTTCCGAAAATAGGGGACCCTAATATAGTACCCTAAATAATATGATCCCTATTATAAGGCCCCCAAAATAAGGTACCCCTTAGTTTCGGAAAGTCCCACATGAGACCAACTCTTTCCTCAACTGAGGGACCTTTTCCTGCCCGTCCAGTCGCGTGGCCAAAGTCCCGACCGCCCGGCCATTTTCCTCGGAGCGGCGACAAATATCCCGACAAGCTCTCTATACAGTGAGGGACTAATTAGCAATCATATAGTACAGAGTCTCATAACCACGACATATGACATATACCATCATATACACGTATAAGATTGAAGCTCGGATATTGCTGCTCTCTGGGCTCGTGTAAATTTATGAAAGTCTCGCTCATGGCCGCCTCACGGGCACGCTGCTCGCGACCAAGGGCCTCCTGCAGCGGGTTTCGAGTTTAGGGCTCCTGGCCGTTTTTGCTTGGGGGCCTCGGATATCAGACCTAGCGTTTCGGGTTGAGGGTTTTAGGGTTACGCTCTCGCAACTCGGACTGCGCCAGACGAGGTCTCTGTGTCCATCTAGGTTTTTAGGATTTTTGTTTAGGGTTTAGGGTTTGGGATGGTTTCGGGCTTCAGATTCAATGTAGGCCCTGTGCCCTCTAAACTCAACTCCTGCAAGGTCTCCAGCTTGCCCCCAGTTCGCTCGTCGGTTTGTCGCCGCTCCGCGATCTCCGCATCCACCCGAGTGGTGAGCCTAACTTACTTTAGGACTTCAGGTGTACTTAGAGGATCATGGGACTTAGTAAGTAAGGTTATAAGCCGCTTAATTGGTTATAAGTATAGTTAACTTAGTTATAACCCTACTTACTAAGTCCCATGATCCTTCAAGTAGTCTTCAGACCGTCGTGC